AGTCATTTGATAAAACATGAAAAAGCCAGTTAATGACTGTTAAATGAAGCAGTAAGTTAATATCTACATAAGAGTTCAGGTGTCACTATGATACAGGGAAGGTAATATTTATGAAATATTGCTCTGATAACGGGGATCAAAAAAGAGGAACATTATTCATCCCACCATTGTGAACAATTAGACCCGACACCACCTGGAAGTCCAGAAATAAAGTTTATTTCAGTTCGTCTTCAGCCTTCACAACAATTTAAATAGCAGGACAGAAGACGTCCGTCTCTGTACACATTGGTTAGTAAAAAAAAAAATCTAAACTCAGGTCAGACACTTCCACTTCCACATTCACTGATACTGCGTCTCTTTTTATTGTTTTTCTTTCTTTGCATTGAGAGGAAACATCCAAGTCGATGCAGCAACAGTAACCGTGCTTCTAAAGAGTTCATTAGAAGCACAAATGTTCAGTTTGTCTCCCGTTTCTTGTCCTGAGGGAGTGCCTACAAAGAAAATGCTCCAGATAAAAACAACTTCATTTCAAAGACAATCTTTAACACAGCCGGCCCCGCCAAGAGAACACTGATTGTTTGGCAACGAGCAATATTTTGAGGCAATGGAAGCTGAAACATTTCCCTGCAACCTGCTCCAGGTATAACGGTCCTAAAGGCCTGCAGCCTGTTCATATTTTCCCAGGAAATTTTTGTTAAAGGAAATTGATTTTTGTTTGTACTTTTAAAAGTCTGAAATTCAAAATGACCTAAAAAAATTAAATAAAATTTGAGTATTTAATCTGGTAATTCCACATTAAAAATGCCAGAATCAGCTTAGTTTATATACAATAACTTTGGCATTTCACAATGAAGACATGATTCATTCACTGCGCCTTCATACTATGATTTTTTTTCTCACAGACCTTCTAAGCAGACTTTACAGGTGACTCTCAGGTTCAGCAGCTGGCTGCACGAAATTTCAGATGAAAAATTAATTAAAATTAAAACAATTCCTCATCCTCAGAAAAAAACTGACACTTCGAGTTGGTTTAAAACAGATTTAAAATTTGGTTGCAGTTTTTAACAAAGTTCAAGATTGTGTTTCAGTCCTGAAAATTTCATGTGTCCATCTGCTGTACTCCTGAAGTGATGAAGGACAAATAAGGCAATTTAAAAAGCACCAACCCTGTATGCTTTAGAGGCCTGTAATTCAGAGTTTTCACAGTATTATGGTAAAATTTTGCACGACTTCAGTTATGCTAAAGTTACTGTATAAAAACAAAACAAATTATTTTCTTATAATTAGTATCAAATTACTAATTATAATTTGGCAGGAAAGCATGAACGTTATGTTGAATCTTTGGGAATGATTACAGACCTTTAAATATAAAAGGCCATATTTTCCCCAGCTGCTTTAGCTCCTTTGAGGCAACTTTCTGAAAACCTGAAGGTATGATCAGCAGGTTGGTGCAGCTGTCGAAATGACTGAATTAGGGATCTGCTGTGTCTGACGTCCCAACAATAGGAAAAACAACCCTGTAGGACAATGGGGTGTTTAGGGGAGTCTAAAGCCTGGGTTTCAGGGATTACTTGTACATACACTGACTTAATTACTTGAAACTCTGTTTAATGTAAGCATCCACCACTGTAATAGTATGTATACGACAGAAAAGAAGTAAATGCATAACAGGTCCCAAATCTGACTGTTTTTTTTAAAGCCGAATGACACCTTGTCTTTTCCAGTGTGCTCACTGGAAGGGGTGTGAAGCAAGCATGGGAACCTTTATGTCCTGAGTAAGAGTAAAGTTTTAATCTTGTCACACCTCCTTTACACTTAACTGTAAATTTAGCAATTAAACAGTGAAGAGTGAGATATTTGGGAAATATCAATTCAGATAAATATTAAATGGGGGAAAAAAAAAAAAAAACCATGAAGTGAAGAGACTCTGTATGCATAGTCCCCAGACTTAATCATCCAATCAGAGGCAAAGTGCACAGAGATGACAAACTAAAATGTTGGACTGTTCCTTTAACAGATCAGGACTAGATGCGGGTAAATCCTCCTGAGCCCCACTGCCTCAGATACCCACCAACTACTGCAGCCCACCACACACAGCGAGTGTGCAAAGCCAGAGGAATAGAAAACTGCAAAAAGGTGACTGTAAACCATCTGAAACTGCAGTGCAGAATGATACTGACTCAAACTGCAAAAAATATACAGGAATGTGAATTAAAAACTAGAGAATAAAGTCCAAACCACTGTGAAACATCAGTAACAGTAATTGAATGAACATAAACATGTGTTTAAAACATAACAGACGTGATCCAGTTTTTCCCACAGCTTTTAAAAAACTGGGGCTGTAATCTGTTCTGCTTTTCATGCAATCGGACAGCAAGAAAAACAAAAGCCTTTAGAGGGCGCTAGTGAGGCTCTAGAGGCTGTGTCAAACATTAAATGTTAAGAAAATTACAAATCATTTTTGGATTACAAGAAAGCACCACAAAACGTCCCAAAGCTTAGGAATGCCTCATTTACTGAGTTCATTTAGTCCTGCTTCATATTGTTATCTTTGATATATGCTGCGACTTAGAGCTGCAACATTTTTAATGCAGTAATGTTCCTGGGAGATAAACACCTTGTCAGTTATTCTACAAAATGTAGTTTCAGGGAGACCGTTTAAAACTTAAAAACAAAGCTGAGGTTTCTGCAGAACACAAATGGACGTTTCTCAACTACAGAGCACAAACATTAAAGGACTACGATGACCTGGATGACTGAGAACCTTCACAGACATAAAGAGCACAATCTGTAATTGCATAAGGGATTAGTCATGGTAGTACATGGTCAGTGGTTCCAGCCAGCTACATCGAACCACTGAGAATCATCTACAGTGTGTTCTGCAGGCACGTGTATGGCGAGGTGGAAGCAGAAGTGGGCAGGGCTTAATCTTTTAAGGTGGGGTTACAGTCCTGAGTGTTGTTGATTGTTCGACTATACGCTCACTTTTTAAATCTATATATTGTTATGTTTTTGATTTTTTTTTTTTTAAATATTAACCCGACAATGTGGGTCTGCTAATAGTAAGTCAATGATTTTATAAATGACTGGCTTGTATTTGCCAAATATTTCCAGAGCGTGGTGGAAACTTGAAAAGTTTAGACATATAAGCAAGAGTTCTGATAAATTAAGGTGGAAATGTGGCTCGTGATAAATAAAGTTTCCTATTTTAAACACTGAACCAGAAAATGTTGCAGTATTGAAAAAAAAATGGATAGGAGTATCAGATTACAGCCTCAGTCTTCATGTTTCAAGCTTTGAGAAAGTTTGTAAAACTTCAATCTCACAAAAGATGTAAAAAAAAAAAAAAAGAAAAAAGAAAAAAAAAAAGAAAAAGGAAAAAGGAAAAAGCTTAAACGTTTTCTTTTCCCACTTCATCGTTCATATGCTCAGCCAGTTTATCAGCTGCTGTAGAAGGTGCATCTTTAAACCTCCCAGTCTCAAAAACACATCAAACTACTAATTTCTACTTCATGCCATAGACGATAAAATCAAAATTAAAAAGTTGAATATAATGTAAAACAAACAAAACCACATAATTAAATACTAATATATACAGTGGTTTTTAAAAATTTGTTGTTGTGCTGCTGCACGTTAGAAATGTGCATGATTATAGCCACATAAAAAAATTTAATCATATAACTGTGTGTAAACATAAATACTAATATTCCTAAGTTCGTCTTTAGTGTTGATCAGAGCACAGTAACAGCGGCAGAGAAACAGGAACTCCAAACCTCCATTTAGAAAATGTTGACACTTTTTGTGCAACAAAATAAAACAAACAAAAAAAATAAATGCATGAAAAGCTGAAATATGGAGAAGTGAGGTTTCCGTAGGACATCAGCTACCACAGCATCATCATCATCATCAGCCCATCAAATAAAACAAATCCTTCAGAGAACTTAAGACATGAAACAGTTTGTTTTGTCAAATCAAAAGCTAAACATCTGAGACAATGAACATGAGAAACTTCAGTTACATTCTAGCTAGTTGTTGTTTTTATAAGTTGTTTATATCTTTGTACAGTATCTGTTCAAAACAACAGTCATCTAAAAGGCGCTTTTTATTGTAAGTTACATCATTATTAGAGAGAGAACTGCAACAATCACACAATCACCTATAAGGAGTACTTGGTGACAACGGGGAGAATGAACTCCTTTTTAACAGGACGAGACCTCCAGCTGTTAGGGTTGGGCTGCATTTAGTGTGACTGGGTGGAGGGTGGAGCAAAAGGGAAGAGAGTAAAGATGGACACAGAGAGACTACAAACAACAAGAGAGCAACAGTTGCACATATAAGAATAAAAAGAAGTCAAGTAGAAGAGCTCAGTGCATCATGGGAAGTGCAGCCTGAACCTATAGCAGCATAAAAGGATGTTTCAGGGTCACCTCATCCAACCATAAGTAAAAGCTTTATTACAAAGGAAATTTTAGAAGTGGACAGTTCAGTTCAGGGTGTCCGTCTCCTGAATCCAAACTGGGAGCTAATTCTTTAGCCCGATAGCTGAATTCTCCAGCTTTCATTCTGCTTTTTGAAACCCTTACTATGAGGTCTTTAAGGTATGATGGCACCTGATCATTCTGGACTTTCTATGTAAGGATGAAGATTTAAAAAATACATTCTGGATTTAACAGGGAGCCCATGAAGTTGAGCCAATTTGGGAGAAATATGCTCTCTCTTTTTAGTCCCCTTAATCCTCTTACTGTTGCGTAGTGATCACTTGGGATCAACTGAAGGCTTTTCAGGGACAGGTGTCAAACTCCAGGCCTCGAGGGCTGGTGTCCTGCAAGTTTTAGATGTGTCCTTGATCCAACACAGCTGATTTAAATGTCTAAATGACCTCCTCAACATGTCTTGAAGTTCTCCACAGGCCTGGTAATGAACTAATCATTTGATTCAGGTGTGCTGACCCAGGGTGAGATCTAAAACCTGCAGGACACCGGCCCTCAAGGCCTGGAGTTCGACACCCCTGTCTTAAGACATTACCACTGAAACATGTAAGGTCTGCCTATCAAGAAGCATTTTTATGTCCCGTGTCACTATTTGTGGTCAGTTTTCTGTAATGTCTCACACAAATTATGTAAATTAATTTACGTTTCTCATGTTCTGCCTCGTGCTGTTTGCTCTTGATTGCTTTCTGTTCATTATGCGCTTTCTGCCCTTCAGTAGGAACTAGCTGGTTAAACGTTACTGGTTTTGCTCTTGCCCTTGGCTCCGCCTCCTGGGCTGCTTTTACTCTCTGACTTCCTGCCAGAGGAGTTCTGCATGGTGGACACTTTAACCGCAGAACCCGACTGACCACCACTGTTGTTGTTATTATGGTTTGAGTTTCCGCTCAGTGTCTCCATGATGGAGCGGAACGTCCCGAAAGGCCGCTTGCTTTCAGAACTTCCTGTTGGAGTCCTCTCCTTCCCTTGATGCACTTTTGTTGGCTCTGCCTCCTGACTGGAGCTCTTGTGCACCTGCTCATCGAATGTAACCCTCAGTTTGAGGTTCTGGGATGTCTTCCTGCGAGATGAGGGAGACTTCAGGGCACTCTTGGGGCTGGTTGCGACTTTCTGGCCATTGGTGGCATCCTGGTCCCCTGGAACGTCTGGGGTTTTGCCATCTGTGGCTTCAGGGTCACTGGAGGTGGGGGACGGGTTGTAGCCAATGCTATCTACTGACTTTGATCCACTGAGAGAAAATGCCAGCTTCCTCTCAACTGTGGAAGATGATGATGAGGGGAGGTGCTTTTTCATCATTAGTTGGAGGTGGTTTGACACCGGCTCCTCCTCTGTGATTGGCAAGTGGGATGGCCTATCAGGTCGTAGTGTGTTTGAGGGTGGAGCTCCCTGATTCTTGCCCTCTTCTGGTGGATAACCATCTGAATCGGATTCGCTTAAGGAACGCTGCATGATCTGTTTGAGTCTTGCTAGTTTGAGCTCTCTCCTCTCCACCAGCCCAATTCTGCGGCCCCCAGGAGCCCCAGGGCCTTCTCTGCTCATACCACCTGCAGGAGGCAGTCTCTCTCTAGGACAGAGTGTCTCCGACATGTCCTTCCCCAGGAGCTGCCGCAGCACGGAGTCTGGACCCACCCCTCCCTGACGAACCAACCAGTGACCGTCACCAGGAGTCCCCTCAGCAGTCAACATCATCTCTTGCCACGCCTCCACAGAGGGTTGATGGGAGCTGCAGCGCAGACAGGGAGACAGAGATCATGCTCCATGTTCATATTTTAACGCTTTAGTATTTCTACCTTTGGTTAGCGATGAAAGCAGTGTTAAACTGCTTAGTCAACTACTTATTCACATCCCTAGTACATACACACCACTCAACAGTAAAACACAGCCTTTTTATTTAAGCAGTGTGTTACTCAGCTGTTACCTGCTAGATCTGTTGGAATCATTAGCAACGATTTCTGTTTGTTTGGCATGACCTAAGGCACATGTCTATGTTTTTCAAGTTATTGTGGTCCTTCACCAAGCTCTACTGAGAAAGCTGCTGCTTTGTCACTTTACCAGCTCTGACTCATTAAGCAGATCTTAGCTTCCACATCTTCTTTTATTATATGATTAACTTTCATCTGTATGGCTTTTACACACCGAGCGTGTGTGTGTGTGTGCCTGTTACCTGGGTGATCTGGACGGTGTCCCCTCTGCCTTGTTGGGCTCCATCAGTCTCTGCAGCTGTTTCTGTAAGGCCATTCTCTCTGACGCCTGTCTACATGACAAACATGCAACACATATGACAGATCTAACACTGAGACAGCTCCTGTGTTTTTCCAAGAACACTGAAGTCTGAATGCTGTCTGTTTCAAAACAATTACACAAACAGATTTCATGATGCAAATAATTAATAAAAGATATCCCACAAAGACACAAATAGCTCTTTTCTACTAGTACCCACTCATCTTGGCTCAGCTTGACTCAGCTCGGTTTTTAGGCTTTTCCATTAGATAGCAGTACCTGGTATCAGGTACTTTTTTAGTACTTGCTCAGCTGGGGTTCGATGTGAGCTGAGTCTATGTGAAAATGTGACGTCGACAGGCAGCATGCCACCGATTAACCAGTCAATGATAAGTCATGAGAGAAAAATCCAAACCGCCATTTTTAAAAATGGCCCTGGATAGTTTCCAGCAACCCTGAAGTGAATAAGAAGTTTAAAAAAAAAATGGACGGCTGGATCTTTTCCAAAGAATTATTATTAATGACCACCAGTGGTGATGATGTTCTCATCTCATAATGTGATAAGCTGAACATTTTGGGGTTATGACATATTTGAGACTCAGATAACAGGATGATAATACTACAATTCTAAACTATGCAAAAACACATCAACTTACTCATTGAGCTGCTTGGTGAGCTTAACAACCTGCGAGGCCAGCGACATGCAGGTTTCTACTACAACCAGGTAGCGGGCGCAAGTGGTGTGTCCCTGCCGCTCGGCACTCTGGGAAGGCCGCTCCCCCTGCTGGTTCTGGAATGTCACATTGGAGCCGTACTCCACCAGAGTCTGGATAAACAAACACAAACCTTTCACAGTTCTGAGCTCTAGCCCACAAGTTTCAGACGTTTCAGAGAAGCAGCTCTCTCATTTAAACCATATCATTAGTTATCAGTATTTTGATTGTCAGCCTGGGCTAGCCAGCAGGAAGCAGACAAGACTAATAATATCCGCCCTTCCTTCAGCAGGGTGTGCCACCTACAGAGAAAATACCCCTCAGCCTCTATTGCAGGAAAATTAGCGAAAAGTGTAAAACCTAACACTTGTAATAAATCAGTGTTGTGTCAGGTTAAGTAAGAGAAAAAGGAACTAACCAGAATGTTGCAGCGAGCATTTAACCTTTTACTCTACAGAAGCCTGATGGATGGTGATAAAGTGATAAATCTCCGAGCAAAGAAACAATATTTAGGAACAGGAAAAAAAGGTTCAAGATAGTAGAACTTTTTAAAAACCCCGTGAATGACACATTACCAGAGAAACAGATGAATAAAGACAAAGCATTAGCTGCTCTGAGACAATAAACAATATGACCAACTCTCCACCTGCCGCAGGTCGAGGTTAGAGCTCAAGTCATTCAGTCCACACAGATTCTGACAGCAGGCGGACTAACAGCAGAACCTGCTGTATATTTATGGGAGCAAAACATCCAGTGATGTAAATCTTGAAGCTATATCACAGACTTAAACATCAGGTTACCTGTATACAGCTGAGGTGACCATACTGAGCTGCTATGTGGACTGCAGTGTTTCCGTTCTGGTCGACTTCATCCAGAGAGATAGCCTGTTCCTGCATGAACTGAAGCAACCACAGCAACACCTTCTCCTGAAGGGAGAGATGGCATATCCATTAAAACAATATAACTAAATGTTCATCGTCTTATTGGATCAGTGAAATGAGAGTAACCATGATAATGTGTCATTATTTGTTAATGATAGTTAAAAGCAGCAATAAATTCTCATAATAAAGTTTAACAGTTCATGTGATTCAAGCATTTCATTTTAGCTTTTACACTAGAATATCAACAGCAAAAACATGCCAGGTTAAGTTATTAAGATGGTCGTCCCTTGCACAGCGGCTTTACGCTACTCCTATTTCATAGGATGGGTTAAATAAAGTGAATGAATTTTCCTCATGGTAATAATAAAAGATAACTTAAAAATAACACACAAATTAAACTTACGCTAAGTAAACAGACAAACAATCTGATTTGTTTATTGACTGCTGTGCCACACACTTGGAAATCACAGATGTCACAAGCAAATTATAAATTACCAATATATCCACCTACTGACTTGTAGGGAATGAAAACACTCAATGTGTAATGTGGAAAAAATAAAATCGACTGCTCTCATCACCTGCATGTGTGTGTTTATGTGCACGTGTGTGTATTACCTGTCCATATCGGGCCGCGTAGTGGATCAAACTGGGATGTTCTCTGGTGCAGCTCAGCTCGGCAATGGCTTCTGTCTCACTTACCATCCACCTCACGCACTCCAGATGACCATTCTACAACAAACACGCACGCATGTTTCAATCACTTCGAGCCATATCAGCCGGTGCATGTCCAAACTGCAATGTGACCAGATCAGTATTTAGCCAGCCAGCTTCTTTGAAAAAAAGCTACCGAATGTTCTTCATGCGGGCAACAACTTCACCTAAAATAAGCTGAGTTTTTCTAGGAGTAAGAACAGGGCTGGCACAATTTATTTCTTATAGAGTGTTACAGTGAGAAAAGACAGTTTCCTAAAATGTCACAACATGATTCTTGTGATATTTTCCAGAGAGGAACCATTGCTATGAACTTATTTGTGTCTTTAGATCCAAACTGTTATGTACTACTGATATGTGGCCTAAAAAGTAGCCAAGTTCCCACAATGAGTCAGTGAAAAGATTTATGCCCCTGCAACGTGAGTAATACGACTACATTCATTTAACATACTTCAGCATGGACCAGGTGGCTGGAAATCTGTCATCCTGTTAATCTAAGCATATAAACAACAGTCTTGTTAATAACAACCAATCAGGAATCAGCAAACAGCTGCAGAGCTTGTCTCCAGATAACACACTTCCCTTCTGGCAGCCAATCAAGAGCCTAGTTTCCACTACAGGGCTGCCAAAGCAGGAGCTGCTCATATTTGCGGCATTTAACTTCTTTCTTTCTAACATCCTGCGGCTGCCAATAGAGCTGGAGTAAACGTTTACCTAATTTTATCAAAAACCTCCATCTTATTATTACAGTATGACCTCACTGACCAGCTGTCAGTAACCAATCAAATGTCTGCATACCCTTGTTAGCTTACAGATGTTTTTTTCTACTTTCAGGAGGACTAATATTTTGACCTGCAGGTATGAACAGTGGGAATTTGAAGACTTAAAGGGTATACAGGCACATTACATTCACATCATGCAGGGTAGATACATAGCTAAAATAAGGCTGAAGCTGCATAAACACATTTCTTACACTTTTGTTGGACTTTATCTGACAAACAAGATACTGCAGTTAATGTGTGTAACATGCATGATGACACCGCTGAATGCCAACACTGCTGGGTGACCCTGAACACACCACACAGTGGGGTGCCAGTACTCTGGCTTGATGTAATTCAAAGTTGTCTTCTCAATGTCATTAAAGCAGAATCTCTGCCAGCACTTGAATACAAGCATGTTACTTTGGAGACATACACCCAGTCTAACACTGAAGTTCACCTTGACCCCCAGACCAGCGGGGGTGAGCTGCTGGTTGTTGCGCTCATTGAGACAATCCTCCCCCATCAAAGATGTGAGATGCTGCAGACAGTCGGCGTGGCCCTGAGAGGCCGAGATGTGGAGCAGGTTGTTTCCATCCTCGTCTCTGATCAGCTCCAGATTATCAGCTGCCAGGTGAGGCTGCACAAGGAGGACAAAGAGGAGAGAAAACAGAGGTTGTGAAGTGTAAAGGACGACGGGTTGATGAGGAGAAGGATGACAAAATATGATGAAATACGCACCAGCAATGAGATCTGTCCTTCTCTAACGATGTTAATGATGTTCTGGTTCTTCTTGGATTCCTCGTCTACTTCCCCTCCTGCTCCACCACTCCCTCCAAACCCCCTTGACCCACCTCCCACTCCTCCTGATGCAGAAGCCCAGGATTTGGAGCTGTCCTGCCTGCTCACGCTGCCCCCTGGCAGAGGGAAAATTAGTCCTGGGCCCCCTGGAGGGTCCACACTTGGTCTCTGGCTCTGAGAGTCTGGATAGACCCGTGCAGACAGCAGTTTGTCTGAAAATCATGTCATGTCTTTATATGTATATATATATATGTTAGCACGGAAGAACAGAACAGAGGACAGTACATTTATTTAATACCTGCATCAGAGAAAGAAGAGAGAGAGGACGAGCAGCTAAGGAGGCCAGAAGACATCTCTGGCTGGTAACCTCCTCCACCTGGGGATCGGTGGAGGTGGTGGAGGTCTGGATCCATTGATTTGGACTTCCTCAGGTCAGACCACTTCACTGGTGACAGAACGCAATACTGCAGAAAACACCAAGTGAGCTTTTAGTTTAAGTGAGAAAATTACAGTCACAGTTATATTGGAGTCTGCAGAGGGTCCCAGTGCGGTGGAAGACATCACGCCTCGTCCCTGTACCAAAGACGCCACATCCCAGTGGCCCCCAGGATTACAGGCCTGTGGCACTGACCTCCCATATCATGAAGACCCTGGAAAGACTCATCCTGGACCAGCTCCAACCCATAGTCAGACCACATCAGGATCCCCTTCAATTGGCTTACCAGCCCCGACTCGGAACTGAGGACGCCATCATCTACCTGCTCAATCGTGTCTACACCCATCTGGGCCAGCAGGAGAGCACTGTGAGGATCGTGTTTTTTGACTTCAAAAAATAGCCTGGTGGTGCATTCAACACCACCAGGCTGACTCTCCTGGGTGATAATGTTATATACCTATGTGGTATGTGACTTTTGTTGCTATGATGCCAGGTCTCTCTTGGAAATGAGATTTTTAATCTCAATGAGATTTTTTACCTGGATAAATAAAGGATTAATAAAAATAATCTAACAGCAATGCAGGTGGATGCTTCTCTGTGTCCCGTTGATTACCTGTCAGGAAGACCACAGTAAGTGTGTCTTCCACATTGTGATGGTAATTAGCAACACAGGGGCACCACAAGGGACTGTCCTCTCCCCCTTCCTCTTCACCACAGACTTCAGCCACTGCACAGAGACCTGCCATCTTCAGAAGTTTTCTGATGACTCTGTGGTGGTTGGATCAGCAGGGGTGATGAGTCCGAGTACCGGGCTGTGGTTGACTCCTTTGTCATGTGGTGCGAGCAGAATCATCTGCAGCTCAACGTGGCAAAGATCAAGGATTTGATTGTGGACCAGGAAAGACCAGGAAATCCACGGGGTCAGCGTGGACATTGTGACATTGACTATAGATACCTTGGAGTACACATAGACAATAAACTGGACTGGGTTAAAAACACCACTGCACTTTACAGGAAGGGCCAGTGTCATCTGAGGCAGCTGAGGTCCTTCAAGATTTTCTATGAGTCTGCTGTGGCCAGAGCAATCCTCTATGCTGTTGCATGCTGGGGCAGCAGGTTGAGCATTGCTGATGCCAACAGACTCAATAAACTGATCCACAAGGCCAGTAATGTTGAGGGTATGGAGCTTGACTCTCTTAAAGTGGTGTCGGGAAGTGAATTTTGTCCAAGATAAAGACAATGTTGGACAATACCTCCCACCCACTCCATGACATGCTGGCTAGCCACAGGAGCACGTTCAGTGAGAGACTGAGATTACCTAAAAGTGCCACTGAACAACACAGGAAATCATTCCTGCCTGTGGCCATCTCCCTGTACAACTCCTCCATCTAACACATTGTAAACACTGCAATAGTTACATCTTTTTGCACACACTCTTTTCTTACTCAGTACTGTTGCTGTCAATTTTCTTGATATTTATTTATATTCACATCTGTCAACCCCAGATATTTATTATTTGGTGATTTGTGTATATATTGTGCTATTCCTTTTATCTTAACATACTGTATTGTTGAATAGTCTAGTCTATATCTGTTAATGTTACTGTACAGGAGCAACTGTAACCCACATTTCAAAAGTAGTAGCTATATTTATTTGTTTATGTATATGTTTAGGTCTGGACAGAGGCACTGTAAATACAAACAGAAATATGAAGCATAAAAGATGCTGGCTGACTCACCTGAGTTTGTGAGCTACTACTGCTGCCCAGGCTCAGAGGCTCATTGTGGGTTAAAGTGGAGTTCTTCAGCCCTCCTCCCCGATTCCTCTCCAGTGTGCCTCCACCTATGTTGCTCCCCGTCACTGACCGCTTGTCGTGGGGAACACGGGGCAGCGTGGACATCTGCTGAGTGGACTTGATATAAGGCACATCCAGGATCTCATCCATGTCCAGATCATAGTGCTCCAGTTCCCCAAACAAAGCCTGGGGGTTGTTGCTCCCTCCAACAACACCAACACTGCTGCCCAGGCTCTTAGCCTTTCCTCCCTGCCCGTCAGAGGAGGCATTAGTCTGTTTGTCAGGGTCATCCTTACTACTCTCAACTGGCTCCCCCAGAACCAGCCCCTGACCTTGGACTTTACCATCGGTCTCTGCGTCAGTGGTTTCTGGTTGGTGCTTAAGAGGTGAGACCCTCTTCACCGGCCGGAACTTACTGTGAACCTCAGCAATCCCTGTGGGTTTGATTCCCCCGCTGCTGTGGGAGGACACACTGCGGCTCCAATTGATGGCTGGAGCTGCAGGAGGACAGGATGATCAGAGATCTGATCTAAACTGTTTCAAGCCAAACTGTAATTATATTATTGTTAAGTTACCTTGCCTCTCCTCTGCCTGACCATCGCTTCTCCTGGACAGCTCAGGGATGCTCTTCAGAGACGTGACAGAATACTGTAAGAGGATGAGGAAAGATTAAAAAAAAAAAGACAGAAAATTGTACGCAGCAGTCCAGCAGCTGTGCAAGGAAGTTATATTTAGATATTAGCCAATTACTTTAAGTACTGACAGATTGTAACTTGAAGCAGTTACAGCTGTGTAATTTCAAACTCCTTCCTACACAGACCCAAAGCCAAGAAAATCTGTCCAAATCTTTCCGTCATGAAAGTTAACGGAATAAAGAAATGCACTGACTAAATGCGACCAAGAACTGAGAGCAGTTCGAGGCCACCTCGTGCAATCAAGGTGGCCTTGACTGCACGATCCTACAGTCAAGGCCACCTGTATCATCCCACCCATCCAAAATTGATACAATGCTATGGGCTGGCTAATTTATTTTATTTTCCTATTTATCAGCTAGATAAAACAGGTCCTGCCACTTAGCCTTAGGGTTAGTGTGTATGGCTGATTTATACTGTAACTTAGAGGAAAGTGCATCCCTGATCCATGCCTTTGCCACTACCCTAAAAGCCTACATCCTGTGGAACCTGTGCAATGATCACTAACAGCTGTCTGCAGCTGGCTTTGTCTCAGCATCTCTGACTTTAACCTGATCTGTTTTCTGTGGTGTGTCAGTTGGTTATCAGCTTCAGCTCTTCATCACTTTTTATCTGAGGTTACTGCCTGAGTCTGCTGCTGGCACCATCTGCACAGACATGGTCTGGTTATCTGTGGACAATCCAGGCCCAAGTGAACCTCTAATGTATTTACTAGCACATCATATGTCAATTAACACTCTCAGTGGTAGTCTCTTGAGTTGCTCACCTGAAAATTTGTTGTTTTCTTGCCCATTTGTTGTCATGTTGTCATTAGTCATTTCACCCACAGCTGTTTGAAGTTGCCAAATATCATTCACTTTTTACAGTCTCTCAATGCCACGTCCCTGCAAATTGCTTCCAGTGTGCATGTAACTTAACTCTCTACTGTAGAACTCCAGCACTGCCAACATTTTTTAATCTATTTGCCTTTCATTTAAAGTGTTGTTTTTTTAAGTTCCTGCAAAAGTACACATTTTTTATGAAGTTCACCAAATGCGGATGATTTTAAGTGAATCAACAGTCATGCTAATCATTGATCAAAATAATAATCTTTTTTAAGCACTGAGCAACCATAAATATGCTTATTGCAAAGTTAGCATTATTTACATAGCTGTGTGTAAACTGAAGGGTGGTAGTGACTATCATCTTCTTGAGCTCCAGAGATACGCAAAGACTGAACTGCTTTATATTCTGTTAGCTGCGTACAACCCCATCAAACTTTACTGGTGATGAAGATGCAGCTGGTAGTTGCGCCCCTGTGGGCAGCTTGTCATATCATACTGACCACTGAATCATCAGAGAAGTCGATCTCATCCAGGTCGAGGTATTCAGGAGCCTCCATCTTCACACCACATCATCAGCCTCACAACCAGCTGCAGACAAAAAGGCAAGATGTCAATGTGTGACTAAAAGCACTAACAAAGCAACAGGATATCACTAATGGTTTCCCTGTGCTCATCAGCATCAACATTCAAAGTCAATAGACAGTTTTGTGTTTCTGTGTTTGATGAATGTTTGACTTGTTGTTTTTGGTTTAGCTGAGCCAATTAAAAAAAGTCCAGTTTTCAAATTTATGGGAATAATTTGTAAAGAAAGAAAAAAAGTAGACTTGGGTTTGACTGGTAATTATTCCTCACGCTTATCTTTTTTTGGTGGGGGGGGGGGGGTTGCATTTTATACAAATCAGGACAATAAAAGCCACAACTTTCTTTGCCTAGCTTTTTTATTTAGCAGCATTTAAATCATGAAAATGAAAAAAAAAAAAAAAAACCTCTGGGAATTACTGCTGCAGTGATATGATCAGTGGGGATAAAACACAGGAAGTAGCTGCAGGAAACCGTTTGGCTGAAAATGTGCGTTAAAGTGCTTTTTGATGATCTTTTTCTAACTGATATGACAAATTTCTGCACCGGGAACAAAGTCACAGAACAAATAACAAAGTCACTTCTATTTTAAGGAGAATTTTCTCTTTCACCCACCAAGAAAGGGCTAAAAGGGATTATTTGAAGCAAATCAAATCCTCTTCTACTGGGTAATGCCGCACATAAAGCCTTAACTGTCAACTGCACAATCTGACTGAGCAGTTGTGATCAAAGGCAACACACAGCAGGATAATCAGGACTAATCACAGAGCAGCGTGACTTGTACCATGAGCACGCAACCTCAACAAACAAGAGCAAGAAGCTCCCTGGCAACAAAAGCCAAACTCTGAAACAAGAAACAGAAAAAAAAAATCTGTCAAATCTGAAAGTTTTCACTATTTTTTTGTACAATAACTTTAGGCTATCTAATGAAGCTATGCAAAATTTTACTCCCGCATTAGGAAACTTTTCTGCTTTACATGGCCTCTGATTACATAGGAATTCATTTTTAAAATGCCTAAAATTTCCAACATTTTTCTGTCCTCTTAACATAGGTAGAGGATAACCACATGACAATTTCAGGGATGATAAACACATGTAAGCTGCATGCCTTCATTCATTGCTTTGTAAAGTGTGAGACGAACTGCAAATGAGACTATTCGCATTCAAAACAAAAGTTGGACTTGCATGCAGACGTGAAAAAAAATACGTTGAAAAGGCTGTGGAAGTCCCTGTATTAAGCACGTAAACCTGTGGCACAAAAATCACCAAACTCGGACGACCACAGACTGTTTTCCTTCGTGGTGGTGAAGGAAAATGCTGGGCTGGCATGTAAAAGGGCATTTATTCTCTTCAAGGACCTGAAGCTCCATAAAGCACCCCTCCAACAGCCAAACCCATCTGTTCTCTGATTGGATAGTTACATTTGTGATTGACATGACATTGGCCAATCAGATGAAAGGAAGAAAAGTAGGGTCAAAATTTGTACTTTTTGCACACACACAAATCTTTTTTACACATACAAATCCTGAATTACAAGTACAAAATATTTATGACCACAATTTGAGCCCATAAATATCACCTGATGACTACATGAAACCTCCAGTAACCACTCACAACTTGTGGTTACCAGGGGATCACTGACTAATCATTGGGCCTGCATGAATGTGGCTGATTGGGTCAAGTATAGTTTTCACAGCAACTTTTAGCAACCACTCTGGAACTGGTCATAGGGTTGTCAACTGGACTCTAGGCTGGTGTGACTGAGGCCCAAGATGGCTAATGAGGTTTCCAACTATTACTTTTGTTCATTAATCAATTTACATACTAACTCTATAAAAGTCTCCAGAGCCCACAGGGATGTTTCCAAATTACTTATTTTGTCAGAGGGAGAGAGAATGTGAAAACACATATTGAACAGATTCCATTTACATGACAGCACAGAAAAACTCAACAATCACATCAGCACTGTTTCTAGTTAAGATCCTGCAAGGAAAGAGAAGACACGTCATCAGCTCCTGTCATTCATCAGTGCCATTCTCTTTCTTTGAAAATCCGGCCAAATAGAGAAGAAGCTCTGACCATGAAGCTGGTATGGTTTGTAAAAAAATAAATAAAATATTGCTCACCAATGCTGTAATCGTCAGTGTTTTCTGTGTAATTTCCTGTTCTATTCCAGCTGGTAGGACTAAGTAACCAGGGAGTAACATGGTTATGGCTAAAATCAGATCGTGTTTACATTTCTTTTTTGAGTTCAGAGCTCATAACAACGATCAGATCAAAGATGAAACTGGCTTTGAAAGCTCTTCATAGATACCAAACTCACAGACTAGTTTCCGGTATTTAGTAAATTACTTTAAACCTCTATTTGTCACGACTGGGGCAGCAGCCGTTGTGATGAGTGGAAAGGAGGACTCGAATGCAGCACTTACTAAGATGTGAGGGTGGTTTATTAAGAATACAGAACACAAAGTGGGGGATGGCAAAACAGAACTAAGGATAAACTAAACTGGGAGAAACTAAACCATAGAATAGCAAACCTGAACACGAAGGGAGGCCAGCAGAGAGAGCACGCTGAGGATTCACAGAGTAATGCAGAGACACAACGAGGAACAGAGGCAGACACACACTATAAATACACAGAGGGACACTGGGAAATCACACACAGGTGGGAGACACAGCTGGACCTGATTATCCTGATCAGACAGGGGACACTAACACCAGGGACCAACAGAGGGAGCACCAACCCAGAAACCCAGTTTCCAAACCCCAAAACACAAACCATTCCAAAACAACCCACAAATAATAATAATAACAACAACAATAAATACACCAAACACGAGCGATCGTGGCTCGAGAGTTGGGAGTTCGCCTTGTAATCGGAAGGTTGCCGGTTCGAGCCCCGGCTTGGACAGTCTCGGTCGTTATGTCCTTGGACAAGACACTTCACCTACTGCCTACTGGTGTTGGCCAGAAGGGCCGATGGCGCGATATGGCAGCCTCACTTCTGTCAGTCTGCCCCAGGGCAGCTGTGGCTACAACTGTAGCTTGCCTCCACCAGTGTGTGAATGTGTGTGTGAATGGGTGGATGACTGGGTGTGTAAAGCGCTTTGGGGTCCCTAGAGGGGACTAGTAAAAGCGCTATACAAATACAGGCCATTTACCACAAAATCACTGATTCATGGACTCAGGCCCATGACACTAGTAGCATATTTTTATAATAACACTTGAGGCCATTTTAATTCTACGTTTCCCACTTACAAAATAACTACCAAAAACTGCCAAAAAGTGAAAAATATACTTCTTAGAATTGAAAGTAAGATGTGCTGAAGAAAAGATGAGACATCAAAAGATAGACACATTATACAGAGGAGGAGATTTCACTAAACACCCAGTGGCCCGCTCCTTCACACAAATAGCCAAACAGCAATAGAAAGTCAATGTTGCCATGTTGTGTGGCACATGGATACTGTTGAGGTTCAGTTTCAGCTGAATGGGAGTGGGTGTATCTCTCTTTATTGTAAAGATGGAGATAAATACACTTCTTGAAATGTTCATTGGCTTATTATTGAGTTCCTGCCCCTTTATATCCCATGGTTCATGTTCACCTGAACCTCATATAGATGTTCTTAAAAAGTAAAGTTTTAAGAATAATTTTAAAGTAAAAAAGAAAAAGAAAAAAAAAAGACTGTTTTATTTAGCTGATAATATTTAGCAATAGAGGAATGATGACAGTGCTATATACAATTTCAGTATGCAATTTAAAGAACATACGCATGGTCAAAAATGACTCACATTACAACAGGAGGACACAATAATACCACCCAGAGTATCAGGTTAGACACAGGCTTTCTGAATTTCTTAGGGCCAAACAGAGTGAAAATTACAAGTCACACTGCCCTTCATGTCTCCAAGACATGCCTGTAGCTTCAGTAATTGATTTTTCCCCTGACTTAATAGTTAAAGAAAATCAGGTATTATCTGTATAGTAATAGAAATGTATCCATGTATAACTGCATTGCTCTCTGCACTACATGAAACCCTATAGAACTCATGACTCCATCTTTTGTATGAGAGGAAAAAAAACCTCCAAGTTTACATAAAGAAACTGGAACTGGACAAATATGATTTAAAGCAGCACAGCAGATTTCTAGCTTCATCCTTCTCATCTGAAGCAGCGTGCCATTTGTTCAGTGTTTTATTACTTGCAAGTGGGACGGGTAGCTATTTTTCTTTACCTCATTCTCAAACAAAGTCAACATTTTTTGTATTTGTTTATTTAACATCTTATTTGGCTATACGTGGAATTTTATACACACAAGACCAATGAAATGTATGCACATTTAGAAAGAGGCTTCAAAACAGCTACAATAAATCCCAAATTGTTACAAAGGTGGCTGTAAAAAAAAAGCAGCAAGATTTCTTTGTAGACTAAATTTGTGCTGATGTTAAAAAATATCTATACACACAAATTAGAAATAAAGAATGAAAATCAAAAAAACTGATTGCACGTTAGCCCCATTATTTGCAAGAAATCTGCAGCTTAATCAATGATGGAAGTATTAGTCATGAGAGGATCACCTAAAATAACACCATGGCTACAGTGGAGTCAGACTGTGAGACCTCTCACGTCATCAGGTGGTGTACCTACAATAAGATCCAGATGTTCTGAGGGAACATTTCATTTCTTTGGCCCATTCTTTCGGGATCATGGAGCCTGTTGATGTGAGATCACTTACAGCTATCTGCATTTAGAACCAAACTGAAAAATCGTCAATTTTCTCACATATATAATAAGTTACTGTGTGCCGCTGTGCCATACCTCGCCTTAAAGAAGCTTTAACCCCTACTCTACCACATAACTTTCTCATCTTTGATTACTAACATTTTTTTCCTTGTACACTGCTTTCAGAGAAAAATAAAGCAAGAAGTAATTTAAAATTCATATGGTCATTTTCCAGGCAATAATAGAAATCTGTCTGTTTTTCTGACCACACATTAAGACTACGCTTAGAGATTTCTTTATGTTTTGAGAAGAACAAACGTCCAGTCATGGAAGTCCAAGATGTTCAGAAAGCAACAAACTGGTGCGTCCGTGTAAGACTGGAGCTGTTTTCAGACTGCGTGGGAGTCAACGGGTCAAAATAAAAAACCCTCTGATTGCAGCTTTGAGAAAGAGTCGAGCCTGCATATCCTTGATAACAACAGTTTAGGCTTCGAAACCCGACATCAAAAATAACATAGAACTTTTAAAGAAAAGAAAAGGAAGGAGAAAAACGTCTGCTCACTCTGTTTATGTGAACAGCTGACGAGTCCAAATCCTTCCAGACAGCAAGACACAAAAATAATCAGAGATGAAGCGTTGTTTTGGAGGAAAGACAAGAAACAAGGATGGGAGTTTATTCTTTCCTCAAAGTGTAATTAGAAATTTACTGCATGCTACTTCGCATTTCCCATGGAAATCAGTGAAACTAAAATCCACCTTCCGTCATCTCAAAGTCTCCCTTATTTACATGTTCTGACTTGTTTGTTGAACTGGTGTAAAAATAGATATGGAAGCAGTGATCTAACGACCACTGGGAGCAGGGAATGCACACAGCACCTCTAAAACCCTGAACTCCTCGTGAGGTTAGTTGGGTTCAAGCGCCACTGTCAGCTGAGCCCTGCCAAACACAGGTTGCAAGATAAAGCTGTAAATCAGACAGAATCGAGACCTGGAGTTTCTTCAGAGCTCACCAAGTTAAATTTAAATGACAGCATACAGAACGACATTCAAAACATGGATTACAATCATAATATCCATGTCCATACAGTAGAAAACCCACACTGACAAAAGAAACTGCAATGATAGCCACAGGATATAACAATAACTCCCATGACACAACTGACTAAATGGACACTACCCGGGGAGACAATGAGCAGTAGAAAATAGAAAATAGATGATAGATTACCCAATTAAAGAGGAACAGCTAATATTAGCACCCTATTTTTATTCTTGGACTTGGCATCATTCACAGTTCATTATTTATCCTTATCAGGGCATCCAGTTCATCTTCTCTCACTCAAACAAGCTGCTTAAAATCCTCCACTTTTAAGCTAACTTTCTTCTGATTGTCTGCCTGTCACCAGCAGAAACAGTCGGTAAGTGAGGCTTCTGCACTTAGAACCCTCATTGGCATTATGTGCCAGTTTTCAACCAGTGCTCCCCTGGGACTGCTGTGGTTACAGGAGCCATTCAGCTCCTCAACCAGTGTTTGCACCAGAGAAATAAAAGCTACTTTCAAGTAGCCTCGCATGTTTGATTTGACAGGTGGTTACTTTACTTTACTTTATTCTGGCCTTAATATTAGTTGGAAGCAGTCTGATAGATAACAGTTATTTTTTCCAGTAAAAACTGAGTAAATTTATCAAAGATCTGCAGATTTCAACACCTCAGAAAATAAGATTGTCTTCGCACTAGACAAGATTTAAACCAATCAGAAAGCACTACTTGCGTACTTTAAATGACTAAAAGTACTGTACATGTAGTATGGCAACACTTTAAAAGCAGATAAAAGTAAAATACGAGAAACATTTGACTTTATTTAAAAGGACAGTTAGTATGAAGCAGACTTAAAGAGGCCAACAGAGCCCTATGCTTTCTGCTTTATAAATGACAACAAAGGATGGGAGGCGAGTGTGCTCCTATGATTCTTACTGACAGCTTGTTTAATCCTCGGATACCTACTCAAGCAGCAGGAGGCTAATCAGTTAAGCTAGCTAGCTAATCAGCATCTAAAGAAGCTAATGTGGAAGCTAACAGGCTAGCCAGGCTGGCAGTTGGAAAATTGGGTCAAAGAGAAAGCTCAGGTAAAAGATAAGGCGGTCGGAATAAGGAGCCGTTAGCTCTCGGTTAACGGACAATTTTCAGACACGGTACCTTTCGGAAGTCAGGCAGCCGAGGGGGGTTAGCCGGTTTAAGGAGCTGGTTGCTGCTAGTGGTAACGCTAGCTGGATGGTTGTTGGATCCAGCTGTTTTTTTCCCTTCTGTCGCCTCTCTGTCTTGAAAAGCACAAAGACTTTGACATATGGGCAGCACAAAGCGCCGGAAACAGGGTGAGCTCTCACTCTGAGGAAATTTCCCAAGACCACGTAGTGTGGAGAAAAGACAAACTTCACTTTCTTTTTGATTTTTTTAGGCTAAATAAAGCAAAATAAATAAATAAATAATAAAAAATTAAATAAATAAATAAATAATTTGTGTTTGTTTTCTTTTACTATTGTTGTGCAGCGGGGTAGCTTATTCACTAAGGAGCAAAGCAAGAATAATACACATTTTCAAAAGAATTTGAAATAATATCTAACAAATTTCATAGCATTGAAAATAATGTCAAACATTTTTTTATTTATAAACAAGAGTTTACAAAAAGTGTTTTCTAGTAAACGTAGAGTAGGTAGTAAAGCAGGTAAACGTATTAAGATCCCAAGTCCCCCCAAAAACACAAGAACAAAAGACAAAACCCACATAAACAACATGACTAAAATGAAAAGCACAGCGAAATTACCATAATAATAATGTTATCAATAAACAAAATAATAAGTGAAATAAGTGGGGAACAATCCTAGGATGAGAGAAGTTTGCCTTTGAGTTTTAAGCAAAAGGGACCGAGTGACAGAAACTGCTAAAAGCTGGAGACAAAATATAGACTTAAAAGACTGATATATAATATATTATAGGGTTGATTGTCAGACGCTTTAATTCAGTGTTTCACATGTAGAAACATAGACATTGAAATTGAAGAAGGGGGGGTGTGTTGTTGCTGTTTTTCTTTCCTTTGGACCATTTTGAGGTCCAACAAGTGCAATTTGAACAATCAAAGCTATGCCTATCTATGTAACTGAGAAAGAGTGGAGCTGGACAAGCCTATATCGAGTTACATTAGCCGCGCTGAGAGGCTTTGATAACTGTTTAAAAGTCCTTTATAGAAATGCGAAGATAAAATTGTAGATAGTACATCAAATAAATATTATTAATTGTTGTAATGGTAATAATGAATCTTCAACTTTGTTACAAGAATTGAATTAATAAAAGTGGAGACGAATAATGTGCAGAAATGTGACCTTTATTTGATTTTTCTGACCAGATGTGTCCACTTCTTATATATATATATATATATATATATATATATATATATATATATATATATATATATATATATATATATGTATAGTATTATATAGAAATGTATTTTACAACAAGAAAAATAAGAAAGAAAGAAAGAAAGAAAGAAAGAAAGAAAAGGACAATGATGAGTTAAAGTTAGCATTTACCGAAATGGAGAAACATCAAGTTCACACAACACACAGACTGTTCCCAATGCTCTTAAAATAACCATATTTTTCTTACCTTTCAAACCTGCCTATGTAAACCCCGCTTTAATTTTTTTTTTCATTTCTGACTATTAATATTTAGTATCCTAATAATGAACTTATTTTAATAAGCTATTATTAAAAAAGTGGAGCACCGAGTCTGTCTTATGCTCAGTCTCTCGGTGTCTTTTTCCTGCTGGTAACTGAGGCGTTGTTTCAATAGACGATCTTCGATGAGGGCAGCAGCGCAGACGAAGGAAATGAAGTCCGTTATATGGATCCGTTATCCTTAGAATAAAGACCACACTGAAATCCTGAATGGGGTTTTCATTCTAATCGTAATTATATGATTATATAGAATCATAAGGGCAGTTCTTATTGTTATGTTTCATTTCATGTTAAACTAATATTCTTAAATCTATATTTTAATTATTTTTAACGTCATGAATCTTAACGTTTGGCTGAAACAATGAAGATTAAAAAAAATAGCCCAAGTATTTCAATTTTGCATAAACATTTTAAAGTGTTCTTCACCCTCTCCCAGCCTGAACAAGAGCCTTTTTCTGTTATCATTTTGAACACAAATATTAATACAACTTCACAAATGGTCTGTCTGGCACGAAAAATTAGATATACTAAAGAAAAATGTCCTTTTTACGCTAAATAGTGAGCGAAAGATAATTTATTTTCCCGACCGCAATGATTTAAAACAAACTTCCAAATTCAGTGGTTTCTTTGTCAGCATCCTGGATCTGTCTTCTAAAATGAGCCATTTGACATCATATACACAGTTACATAACTTTTAGTCGCAGAAGCTACTCCACAGATGGGATATAAATGTTAGGTTGTGTTTCCGTGTTTCCATAATAACAGCCTGTAAACCTCTGCTTTACTAGACGAGGCATCAGCAGCTCATTTTTACCTCAACACTGACATCTAGTGTCACAGGAAAGAAAGAAGGAAAGAAAGTGAAAAAACTAGAAAATGCACTTTCTGAAGAAACTGCAGTTTGAATGCTGATAGATGTTTTGAGCTGAAATGAAATAATTGCTGAATGTTAAGTTAAAAATGTTGAATGAGCTGAAAAAGGTGGAATCATTCACCTGAAGGGTAAAGTGCACTTACAATTTTCCAAGTTTGGAAAGTAAACATCCTTAAAATCTAAAAAAGCTGAGTAATGACAAATAAATAAATAAATAAATAAATAAATAAATAAATAAATAAATAAATAAATAAATAAATAAATAAGTCAGCATTCACACTAAATAGTACCATAATATATATAAAAATAATGAGTGATTATATTGTTTATTATTTGCTAAAATGTCTAATAAAGAAATAATCCATAGATTCTTTGTTTTTGTTTTCATTTAACAATAAAAAACATTAATAATTAAAAATGGAGACAATCTACCCAGATAAATAAATAAATATTTGAAACAATCTAAATACCGGACAGGTTGTTTTGGGTGTCAATGACATAAGTTTAACCACAAAAGGTTTTCCTCAGGTAAAGGCTCGGTGTGACAAGAATACCAAGTAGAAGATAATACTCAGATTACACTTTTATTACTCTTTATACCTGCTTCTTTCCAGTACGTGCCAGTAATACTGTGCCACATAGTTTGTATTTCATCCTCGTCTCTTTAAGCTTTCTTTTTTCTCATTTCTGTCCCTTCATCTGTTAAACGAGAGTTCTTCCTTCCCACCATCACCAACGGCTTCCTCACAGAGGACCATCTGAATGTTAAACTTATTCTCAATATTGTAGGTCTTTTTATTGTAATATAAATAATAATAATAATAATGTGACTGTTCTTGTGAATGGTTGCTATATATGTCACCCAATGGTTAGCAAGTTGCATCAATGTACTGTATAGATTTATCACACTTACACAAATATGTGCTTAATGGAACCAAGCTGCAATCATGTGGCTGAAAAGTGAAGGCAACAGAGAAGTGTTAAAAGCTGCAGTCCCTGTAATGGCTACTAATGATTGTACAAAAGTAAATCAATCATCAGAAACTGTTTTGTTAAAATGCCCAGTTTTACAGGGTGTGTATACGTGTCCTATCACTGGCAGCTGTAGCAATGTTCGGATTTTTAAAGTAACTGACTAACATGAATGGCTTTTTATTTAAGGAGTTTGTGCTTCAGTTTTGGTGCATGAAATTTCTGTATTATATTCCTCTTTTGCTTAGCACTAGTTAGTGGGTATCTGTGTGTTTGAAGATCACCCGTGCAGTTTTAGGGTGCAGATTCCTAAGCAAGCTTGCTAGTTGCTAACGTTTTGTTCAAATATGGTTGCTTTTGATTAAAAAAAACAACAGCACACAAAACCAAAGAAAAACATTGTGGTGGTAAAAATAGTCATGCTAAAGCTTCAAAATGTGGATAATATGGCATCTTTAATATGCAGCCTAATATTAATACTTGGCAACCTAAGGAATACTGGTATTTTACACTCGTAGCTGGAGCATGTACCTGGATTGTACCTTAGTGCTTATGGAAGAAACTATCTATGACCAAAAGAGACTGATAACATTATTTTTTATCCTGTAATGCTGGCCTGGGGATTTATTAGCAGTGACTCACTTCTGGAGTCAGCCTCAAATGGACATTTGCTTCGTTTTCCAGCCCCAGAGGCTACGGCTTGAACGGTAAATGACTGGTATGTAGCACCTTTCTACCTAATTTTGCGTTTTGCACTGCAAGTCTCATTCACACAGGGCTTTTATCTATACTTAAGGACATTTATCTAACATTGACATACACACTGTGATGGATGTATCAGGGGCAACCTGCCCAAGGAAGATCTATTGACCTTCTGATTGGTTGACAGCCTGCTCTACCACCTGAGCCACAGCTGCCGGTGGACACGGTGAAAACTCACATTAAAACAGACAAATGTTAACACAAATGACTTCACATTCAAGCAAACTTTATTAGTGTGATATGAAGCAGAAATGTAGGATGATAGCATGAGACATGAGCTTGGCCTATACACAGCTCTGCAGGTATGTGTGGTTACAGGTCATCAGGCACACACACTGTGTACTGTGTTTACACAGTTAACACACACAAACACACACACACACTTACTCACTTGTAAAGGATTTACAGGCAGGATTTTTTTTTTTGTTCGTTTTTTAAATTCGTAAACACAAAGTGCAAACTTTATATATTTTAGCACCAAAACTCAAAAATCTAGTCTATAGCACCAAAAAAGCATATTAAATCGTACAGGATACTGAAAAAATGAAATGTCCATTATATTTAAAAATGCCAAGAAACTGTCATCAAAATGTGTTTAAAGTTTCAAACATTAAATTAATACTGAAGCAGTCTATAGAAGCGCAGAGAGAGCATGCGTGTCTGTTTTGCCCCACTCACATGAAATAGTTTTTTGCAGTTTAAAATAGAAAAAGCGCACGAGGTCATGAGAAAACTAAATTAAAAGAAAAAACATGATATAAAGGCAAATAAATTCCTACTCAATCCTGCCCTGAAATTATTTAGGCTAAAAAAGTGTATCTAATGGCCTTTGGGTAAAAAGTAGCTTCTTTAAACAAACTTTTATGTTGGATATAAAAACTAAATGTGCAAAGTAAGAAAAAAATAAGAAACCAGTAACTCCAACTGTCAGATACATGTAGTAGTATGGAAGCAAAAA